GTGAGGGAGGGAGTGCTTGAGTGCAGTTTAGGCTATGCTCAACATACCAAATTTGTCTGCACTGTGAAGAGAGATTTTCAATTTTTGGCCGGATGCACTATAGCAGTCTCCCCAGGTATTCCATATATCCTCTTCTTCAGAGTCCTCCTCTAGCTCCTGCTTAAAAGAAACCACCTGATCACAGTGGTGGTTTGATTAGATCCTGGCTAATTTGGAAAAATTAGGATGGAGTTGAAACAAGATCTCTCAAGTCTGTCACCAATTATTTGTCTGACCTCAGGCAGCTTACAGCTTCTCCAGGTCAGTTTCCTCATCTGTACAGTAAGGGGTTCGGTTTAGATTGGTGGTTTTCCAACCAAGATGCCATGAAACATGGACACTTTACCTGTGTGACTGGAGATTTGGGACATTGAAATGGGGTCACAGGCTGGCTTTTCTGAATTTCCCCTAAGAAAGACATTCTGAATAGACATTTTTTTTCTCAATTTAGAACTCTTAACCCATAGAGTTTTCTTTTTTTTTTTAAATTTTATGACTAGTTGGACTAGCAGATGAAAAACATATATGAACAAGCAGTAAATGATTTTCACTTGAAATATTTGGAAACAACTATTTCCATTTTGAGTATGTGTGCTCATTGCAGCTTTATACTGTACATATATAGTCATATTATCTTTAAGAAAAGCTGTCCTCAGCTTATCAGTCCTAATACATGATATTAAAAATCTATCAATAGGTTATTCTGAGAAGAATACCATGACTTCCAGGTGCTTTCCACCTGAGCAAGTTTGAGAACCACTGTTCGTATGTGCTTGTGGTTGGGATTTCGTGTTGCATGCCTGCAGTGTAGCTATATTTTTCTTTGAGCAAAATTGTTTTTTATTCATGTGAAATTAAACGTACCATAATTTCATAATATATTGCAAAGAATATCCATAGATTTTCAGGTGCTTTCCATCTAGGCAAGTCCGAGGCTAATGAGAGAGTCTATAGGGATTTTCCTAAATCTTTTTTGAAATTCTTCATTTTTAACACTGTCCCCTTGAATTGTTCCTTCTCCTGTCCCATTCTTCCATTTTTTTCCCCACCAAATGTCAGCTCCTTTATCCTGCCATTACCTGCTCTCTACACACCCAAGGAGGGCTGTTTCTTTTCTTTTTTTTTTTTTAAGATTTAATTTATTTATTCATGAGAGACACACACACACACACAGAGAGAGAGAGAGAGAGAGAGAGAGAGAGAGAGAGAGAGGCAGAGACACAGGCAGAGGGAGAAGCAGGCTCCATGCAGGGAACCGGATGCGGGACTTGATCCCGAGACCCCAGGATCATGCCCTGGGCCAAAGGCGGCGCTAAACCACTGAGCCACCCGGGCGTCGGTAAGGAGGGCTGTTTTGCTCTGAGTGTGACACTAAAGGAAAGGGCTGGCTCTTTCCAAGCACTATAGCACTGCTTTGCTCTTCTGCCACTTAGCTCTGGGATCAGTCCTCAAAGTCTGATAGATCTCGAACAATGTCTTAGTCTGGCTTTTAGGCATAAATGTTGAAAATCAATCCATAATAGGATTTTTTTTTTTCTGGTCTAAATGGGAGATGAGGCTAGATAAAGACTAGATGTCCTGGAGGACCCTTGTGGGCTTATCTCTGCTCTATGATCTTCGACAGCCATTGAGTTCTACCTTACTGTGGTGGTTTAGCACCTTGTCAATTCGGTGAGGTTGGGACTGTTTTACCCAGAATCCCTTTGCCTGTGTGGTACCAGGTGAGGGATGGCAACAAGAGAAATTTGCACAAAATATAGAGTGCAGAAGTGAAGTGGTCATCATTATGTTCTGAGGGCGGGCGCAGGACTCCAGGCACCACTGCAGCTGGTGCCCCTAGTCACTGATCTGCTAGCTCCAACCTTCCTCAGCTTCCAGTTCATCCTCTCACACTCCCCTGTTCCCCTCCAGCGTTATCTTCCCAGCTGTTGAACTTATTGACCTATCCTGACCTCAGACAGACACTGAGGCAACATTCCTCTCTAGATTCATCAGCTCCCACAACTGTGTAAGCTCCAATCCCTTTAATAAGTTCCTCCTTCCACAGCACTCATTGTGATTCTTTTCCCCGGTGGAACTCTATGGGATACATGTGCCTATAGTGGTGTTTGCTTTCTCTATTTTACCGCGAAAAGTGTGTAATGAAGGAAGGAGCACATGCCTGCCTTTTGTCCCTTCAGAACCGGCCAGTGGGCATATGCAAGCTTCTCCGGAGAGCACTGTGGCTGATAATGATGCAGAGCACCACTATTTGAAGGAGATGGGGCTTGAATGAAATGGGTAAAAAGAGGAAAAGAAAATGCATTCCTTAAAAAACATAATCAGCCTGGCTTCAAAGTTACAGTGTATATCCACTCATTTTCAAAATCCTGCTTCAGTTGGGTTTTATAATTTCTGTGGAGCCGGAATCTCAGAAACTAAAGACCAATGTATGTTCTAGATAAGTCCAAGACTCTTGGAGCAAGCTCACTCTATCCTAAATGTAAGCCTATTTTTTACGGTAGTCTAAGGAAGGAACTGAAGTTTTGATGCAAGGCTTATGCAAGTCACTATTACTTTTCAGAGCAAATCACAGAATATAGGAGCCTCTCCTCAGATCCCCATCACCACTCTGAAAATAGGCAGAGTCAGTGATTCTTTATCCAGGAGCGGGAGACCAAATATGAGAGATGTCTTTACTTTCGAGAAAGCCTTTATCTCAGAGTTACTCTCCTTTTAGCTTTAGGATCAATGTTATGTGTTACTCTTGACACCTTTACAATCAGAGTTGGAACTCAACCCCGCCTGTGCTAAGACCAGTAGTTTACAAACCTCACTCATTTATGAACCATTTATGTACCACCTTCATAATTTAAGACACTTATGAGATCTGTTCACTTAATAATTTCTGGGATCCCTGGGTGGCGCAGCGGTTTGGTGCCTGCCTTTGGCTCAGGGCGCGATCCTGGAGACCCGGGATCAAATCCCATATCGGGCTCCCGGTGCATGGAGCCTGCTTCTCCCTCTGCCTGTGTCTCTGCCTCTCTCTCTCTCTCTGTGACTATCATAAATAAATAAATTAAAAAAAATTTAAAAAAATAATTTCTACTTAAGTGTATTTGCCATGTTTCATTGAATCTAGTGGACTATCCATTGTAAGATATATTTTGTACCACCAAGGGAGCAAAAATATTGCCAACTGAGTTATACAATACCTTCTTATCTTAGAAGTTTTATTTTCCACTTGTTGAAAATGCTCGTTTAGGCTTCCTCTCAGCCCTGAATGAGTTTCCTGTTTCTTACTCAACTCAGAAAAAATAGTTTGTATTTCTGTTTTCATAGCTGATGAGTATTAATATTGGATCACAGCCGAAATAAATCCACCTTGCCCTGCAGCAGGCTTGTCCAGTGTAAAATCTCTGAATTTTCAGTGCAGGGACTCCCAGGCTTGGGTTTAGGGGGAAAAAGAACTTGAAGAGGAGACTGGATGAACAGGGTTGGGGAAGGGCTGCTGAGAATGTATCTTATATCTGCTTCACTCTGTTCTGTGGGACAAATGGGGTAGCTAGATGCAGCAAAAGCCAAAAGATCATGAAACACATCCTGATTTCAGAGATATCAAAATACAAGGAAAACAAGCACAACTTAGACTCAACAGAGTAGTTTCTTTAAAAAGAAATTTTATATTACCTCCAAAACCTGAAAGCCATATAGCTAGCCAAAAAGAAAAACAAAAAGTAATGAAATAAAATATACAATATTAACTTCTAATTAGATACTGTGAATGTGGAGGGCTTTCCAGTTGAGGTATGCTTTAAAAAAGGGACATTTGTCAGTGTTAGGTGTTACATCCTACTAGTACCAAATGGAAACTTTCTCTTTTATTGGAACAGAAGGATTGGAAGAGAGAAGAGTGAAAACATTTTCACGTGAGACCCAGTATTAATTAAAGCCGGGTCTGGGAACTATGTAAAACCATATTTGTAGGTACCACCAGTGGTTTTTAGCTTACATTTTTGGAAAACACAATGTAAATATTGTCCTTGATCTTTTCTGTTCTTATCTACCATCCAAAACACTAACAAGTGGGCTAGAAAAGAGCAAACAAAAGTTGGAAGTCAGGTACAAGCAAGGAGGAGTGGATAACAGGGATAAGTCAGACTTGGGAAAGAGAGTCCTTATATCAAGTCAGAATTGGCAGAACAATATGCAGATCTGAATATTTTGAAGCACCAGTCCATCTGTTTTTTCTTGCTTTAAAACAGATCACCACCAACTTATTAGTTTAAAACAATATCCATCTATTAGGTCTGTCTGTAGGTAGGAAGTCCTACAACTCTCAGTAGCGCTTTCTGTTAAGGGTCTTGGAAGGTAAGCTCTTATCTGGGATATCAGAGGAAGAATTTGCTACCAAGCTCATTAAGGTTGTCAGCTGAATTTAGTTCCTTATAATTGTAGGACTGAAGTCTCCAATATTTTCTGGTTGATTGTTGGCTGGGGGTCATTCCCGGTTTTTGGAAGCTCTTCTTTGCTCTGATCCTTGCCCCACAACCCTTCCCTTTTCAAAACCAGCAATGGGCTGTCAAATCCTTAGTTTTCACTTTCCCTGGTTTTTCCTTCTGCTACTGGTCAGAGAAAGCTCTCTGCTTTTGAAAGGCTCCGTGATTAGAACAGGGTTGGTTTTTTTTTTTTACTCATCCATATTTAATAACAAATATTGAAACCTGATCTTTTTTTTTAATTCCAATACAATTTACTACATTCTATAGAAGAACACAAATTAAAGACCAAATGTGGACACATATCAGAGACTTGACTTGAACGACCAAAGATGGCTCTACATGCACTAGTGAGGATAAACAACACTCAGCAGTGATTGACAAGAAAAATAGGAAAGAAAGAAGAAAGATGTTTCAAGACCGTCTTCAAAGACACCACCAAAGACATCAGGGGAACTTTGCTGGAATGATGTAGAAGCCCACTTAGATTCTGCAGTCTTCTACTGGTGAAGGAGGAGGGGCCGGAGGTTCTGTAGGGCCAGCCACACTATAAGGGACTTGCTCCAGATCCAGAGGGGAGGGTATCGCCCTGGCTTCATCGCTTTTCTTAGTAAATCGCTCTTTTCTGGTGGCCATGGTGACTCTGCGTCTGGTCACCTCGGAGGCCAGGTCTCCATAGGGCAGGTTGTTGCCATTGATTGTGGGGCTCTTCTGAGCCATGGTCTTGCATGCAGAGGACTCAAGGCCTCAAAATCCCTCCACAGTAGTATCTACATTAGCATTCTATTGAATAACTGGAAACAGGAATCTAGGTGGGCCATCTTTAAGATTCTGCTTATTGAAGTTGTCTCCGGAGATTCAGCTTGAAGTATAGAAGTGAAATGAAGGGGCACCTGGGTGGCTCAGTTGGTTAAGCATCTGACTCTTGGTTTCATCTCATGGATTGTGGGATCAAGCCCTAAGTTGGAGCTCTGGGTTCATTGGGGAGTCCACTCAAAGATTCTCTCCCTTTGCCACTACCCCTACTTGTGCATGTGCACAATCCTCTCTCAAGTAAGTAAATAAATATATCTTTTTTTAAGAAAAGGGGTGTCTGGGTGCCTCAGTCAGGCATCTACTTTCAGCTCAGGTCATGATCCCAGGGTTCTAGGATGGAGCCCCACATCGGGCTCCCTGCTCAGAGGGGAGTCTGCTTCTCCCTCCCCCACTCTCCCTGCTTGTGCTCTCTGTGTCAAATAAATAAATAAAATCTAAAAATAAAGAAAGAAAGAAAGAAAGAAAGAAAGAAAGAAAGAAAGAAAGAAAGAAATGAAATCAATATCCTTGAGATGTTTCTGTAGTAATTCTGGGCAAAATTAGAAGTGTGCCTTAAACTAAAGTCTGCCTTTGAATGGGTGATACTATAATAGGCTCCAGAATAATCACTGCAGTAACAAATACAAAGGAGCTAACACATTTATTTATTTATTTATTTTTTAAAAATATTTTATTTAATTATTCATGATAGTCACACAGAGAGAGACAGAGAGGCAGAGTCACAGGCAGAGGGAGAAGCAGGCCCCATGCACCGGTAGCCCGACGTGGGACTCGATCCCGGGTCTCCAGGATCGCGCCCTGGGCCAAAGGCAGGCGCCAAACCACTGCGCCACCCAGGGATCCCTAACATATTTATTTTTTATGTAAACATAAGCTACCTCACAGTACTCCATAAATGAATTTCACATTCAAATAATAATTTGACTAAAGTCTAAAATGTCTAAACCTCCACCTTTCCATCTTCTGAGAGACTTCTAAATGTCAACCCAGAATTTTTTTCTTTGTTGTTAAATCTTAAATTAGGGAAAATTTCCAGAATGAAGTTAATTCTCCTACACTTTTTAAACAAATATGTGGCTGAAAATACTGATATTTAAAGACGTGAACTGTAGACACATACACACTTTTATCTGATTCTGCTTAAAAGTTAAAATCATCAACAGCTGACTCTCACTTTATTACTCAGAACTCAGTCACTGTAGGAACGCAGAGAAGTTCAAAGATACAACATGATTTTGAAGCCAAAATACACTAACTTCATCCTACTGAAAGGAGACAGTTGTGTCCCACTGAGATGATGGAGTTCAGGCTACAGCAAAGTTCAGGCGGGCCCCGTAGCACCTCCCCACTCCACAGTGTGCAGCTTCTTTCTGGCACTCCCCAGAGCTGGGAATTTACCACCAACATCGCCTTGGGGAACAGTGTTAGCAGCTGAGAAACTGCAGGAACAAGCTGCTTCTCAGTGACTCCCAGATACTATCAGAATGCAAGAAAATAATTAAAATCCTAATTAAGTAGTTTCTCATCTGGCTCATTTGAAGGCGCTCCAAAATGGTCAGATTTAAGGCATGGTAAACAGCTGAAGTGTTAAATTTGCTTGTTAGTTAAAACCTTTGTCGGAGGTCAGGTCTACATAAGGAATGTGAAAGAGAGGATTGGGGCAGGATCTGTGTAATTCAAACCCCAAAGAGTTTTGCATGTGTCCTTTGTATCTTTCAAGTAAAAAAAAAAAATCTTTTTCTTTTACCTAAACTTTTTTGGCATAAATACTGATTCAATATTGTCTCTAGCATAGTATTGTATGAGGAATAATTTTCATATTCGTAAATGATATGGGAAATATGGAATAGGCTGAAAAAAATCCTAAGAATGCACTAAGGTTTTAGACACTAAATTTGTCAAAAATACTCTAATTTTGGCATATTATACTACCTTGTATTAATTTTATGCTGAATAGCTTAAATACAAAATATATGACATCTATTTAGATTTATGAGTGAAACTTAATTATGCCTCCGTATTTTGGAGGCCAATTTGCTTTTGGCTACCTTCTCTTGGTTTTACTTTATTTCTCTTCTTGTATGGATCCAGTAAGAACCAAACATCACTGTGTTTTCCAGAGATGTAGTTTCTCAGGAGACATTTGTTAAAATTCTATTATAAAAAAGCATCCAATAAGTCTAAGCATGTTAAAACACAACCTATAATCTGGGTGTGTGTGTGTGTGTGTGTGTGTGTGTGTGTGGTGTACTATATAGATTATTCGGAAGTGATTTGTTAGGTTATTATTTTGAAATTGCTATTTAGAGATGAATAGACACTGATATTTAAGATTTTGAGTATGGGTAATGTCATAATCAATATTACATCCAGGCAAATTTTTAAATAGGAATATGAATCTCCTGTGATCTCTACAGTTTTCAGACTCTGTTCCTTGAACTTGCTGGTTTTGCCAAACCTTGCCTCTGGGACTCTTATCACTTTGTTGCTTCCTCTTCTGCTAGTCTTCTTTCCACTCTCTCCCTCTTTTTTTAATTGAATAAATTTGGCATGTAACATTGTATAATTGTAAGCAATCCAATTTAAAAATGGGCAGAAGAACTAAAGAGATATTTTTCCAAAGAGGATATCAAAATGGCCAACAGGCACATGAAAAGATGCTCAGCCTCACTAATCAGCAGGGAAATGCAAATAAAAATCACAATAAGCTATCACCTCACACCTGTTAGAATGGCTATCATCAAGAAGACAAGAAAACAGGTACTGGTGAGGCTGTGGTAAAAAGGGAACCCTTGTCCATTGTTGTGGGAATGCAAGCTGGTCCAGTCACTATGGACAACAACATGGAGGTTTCCCAAAAAAAATAGATCCAGAAATTCTACTTCTGGGAATATACCTAAAGGAAATGAAAACAGAATATTGAAGAGATATCTATATTCCTATGTTTATTACAGCACTATTCACAATAGTCAAGATGTGGAAACAACGCAAACGTCCATCAACAGATGAAGGGATAAATATGATTGTGGTGCATCTACACAATGGAATATTATTTGGCCATGAGAAAGGAGGATATCTCCTTCTCCTTTAACTCCCTTTTCCAAACCTTTTGGTTGGAAGAGAAAGTAGTGCTTCCAAGTGTGGACTTTGGAATTGGATTATCTGGTTTGGATCCTGGCTATGCCCACTTACAAGCCATATGATACTGGGCAAGTCACTTAATCTCTCATGCCTGCTTCCTCAACTGGAACAGGGGATAATATTAACACTTACCTTGGGTTATTGTGGAGAGTTACTGAGTCAATCACCTAGTGTGTACTTTATAATTGTTAGCTAATACTATTTCCACTGTATTAATATTTCTGGAACATTTTTCTTTAATAAACAAAACCCCCTACTTCCTTAGCCTTATCATATTCCTCATCTCTTGTTCTCTGCTAAAATTTAGATGTTCTTTGAGGGCAACTTCAACAATTCAGATGAGGGTGGCCTCTTTTCCAAGCTCAGCTTAGTCCAGTTCTAGGAAAAAGAATTAACAGTCCAGTTATTTCCAACCTAGTACTCTTGTATTATAAGCAAAAACTTCTCCATGTTTAAAGCTTCTGTCTCCCTCCCTTCCATTTATGCTTCTGCATCTACTGAGACTTTGACACCTGGGTTATGGTTTTCCTCTCTTCCCCATGTCATCATAGTGGGTAATTTCTCTGTCCATCCAGAAGACCCATCCAATGCTCCAGCTTCCCAGTGATTGAACTCTTTCTTGTGATGTCGTTCTCCTTCTCAACCTTTCAGCCCCATGTTAGACTTTGTCATCACCCAGATCTGCTCAATCTCAGAATTGTATATTTGAATATCATGGTCTTTGCCCATGATGGTGTTCAGTGAGAAATGCTAAAGGAGCAAGTACCCTATTTGGATGTAAGATATGGGTCTCTTGCTTGCTCATGTGCTTTCCCCACAAATCACATTAAGAATTTAAGATCTTGGCAGCCCGGGTGGCTCAGCAGTTTAGCGCCGCCTTCCGCCCAGGGCGTGATCCTGGAGACCCGAGATCAAGTCCCACGTCGGGCTTTCTGCATGGAGCCTGTTTCTCCCTCTGCCTGTGTCTCTGCCTCTCTCTCTCTCTCTGTTTCTATCTCTATCTGTGTCTCTCATGAATAAATAAAATCTTTAAAAAATAATTTAAGATCTTGTTTGGTTGACTTATTGGTAGACGTCCTTCCCAAGCATTCAGGAACAAAAACTGGTAGCTATTCTTTGTCTTTCTCTTACTGTAATTGTGGAAAGAGGTTCTTACTACATGCAGTTAATATTTAGTACCAGAGTCTATTATTCCACCTGTACATAAGTGTGGGCAATGCTTTCTGAAGAAGCGACTTATATTTTCATGGAAACATTCTGATCTCTTTTATCCTCTCCGGCTGAAGTTTCCAGAGCAGTTAGATTTTTTGTATGGCTAGTCAATTCTAGGAGCAATGTGTTCGGAAGAGTGGATGCAAAAGAGATGTTAGGCTTGGCAGGTTTTATGGCAGAATATTCTAGATTAAAGAGAAGACATCTCTGTATTCAAAGAAAGAAGAAAAAAGAAAGAAAGAAAGAAAAAGAAAGAAAGAAGCCTCCACACTGTAAAGTTATTACACTGATTCATTTTTGTTTTCAGAATCTGAATTCTAGAACCTTCTCCTATCTGTATTTTTTTATCATAATACATTTTTATATTATACAGGCAATATAGTATTATCATTATTATTTGAAAAAAGGAAAGACATAAGGAGAAAATAAATACCACCTATAATTCCATGTTGTATTTTAACAATATAAATGCCTTTCAGACCTTTTGCTAGGTAACATACTACATATTTTACACATGCTGATGTACACTTTCTCTTACAAACAGGGAGTCA